GTGTGTGTGTGTGTGTGTGTGTGTGTGTGTGTGCGTGTGTGTGTGTGTGTGTGTGTGTGTGTGTGTGCGTGTGTGTGTGTGTGTGTGTGTAGTGAGTGTGTGAACCACGACTATCCATTCATTATGGAAAACGGAACCATACCTTTGTCTATTGTCAACATAGGATGATACGCCATTCAACGTTAGCAGCACGATATAAACATTCATAGAAGACATCTCCACTGTAGAAGGAGGAAAGGGAGGTAAGAGTTAATAGGGGGGGAGCAACTTAGGATCGTCTTGGTTAGAAGGTAGCCAAAGGAGGGGTGCACGCCCTGAAGCGCGCTTTTCGCTGCCTAGCACCCATAGCACCTCATCAGAGGGACAGCCTCTAGCTCCCATTAGATATTAGCAATGTTGTGGTAACGTATACGACAGTTTAGACATAGGAAGTAGTTGGGTTCTTATCTCTAATTGGAAAGTTTGTGAAGATGATGCATCTTCTCCGGTAGCCATCGCCTCTCGAAGGTCTTGTGTTACCGGAGCCCGCAACGAAGCGCGCTCGTAGCACGAAGGCCTGAGCGTGTGTTAGATTTTGGGCAACCGATGCTCAGTTAGCAACTGTCTTGTAGTATGGACGAGCTTGAGGATGAGCTCGTGTTTTTAGAAGAGGAGGAAGGGGGAATGAAGTAGAAGTGGAAGGAAGGTGCTGATAACGAAGGCTTGCGGAAGCTGCAGGTCCAAGTTCGCTCTGTAGTGTCAGTGCGATCGCAAGCATGGCCGACAAGGATGGGGGTGCGAGTATGTGCCATTGTATATAATCTAGTTGAACTGCCTATCGTAATCGGAAAGTTGCAAGCGGACTGGTAAGGGCAGCGCGGGGTTTTATGTCTAGGTGGGTTGTTTCGTGTAAGGGTTGTGAAGTAGCACTGACAAACTTTTCAGCATATGGCGGGTTGCACAAAAGGCGTGTGTATGTGGGTATAGGATGTGCTATGCATGGGTTTTGTCTTTTGCTCGTGTTTTAAATGTTTTTTATGAAGTGGTGGTGTCACGGGCAATGGCGTATATGCCAGGCTCGTTTTTGTCTGGATATATCATTGCAATCAGACTCGACTTCTTCACACTTATCATGCGTGCAAACAGCGAAACAGCAAACTGGCAACATGCGCCCACACAGTACTCAAAGATATCGTAACCAGGTAGGAGTTCTCTTCGAACTGGCTATGGCGACTGAGCGCCCACACAACTCACTGTTCGCACTCTGGATCACCCTCGATGTCCCACACGCAACACTCAGTGTTCATACACAACACACACACACTAGGCTATGGCTATGGCAGCGCTAGCTGCCACTACCCTATCGCTACACTACACTTCTCTGCCCACTTCGTCTTCGGGCACAATGCAGACCTCCTCGCACAAGCTGTTGAGGCAGTGCTTCCGCATGGCATCCGCAGGAATGAATGAATGGTTGGACGCAGCATCTTGATTTATACTTCTGCGCTGCGTTGGTCTGCCCTCTACCCCTTGGCCCATGATGTGCACAGTCCCAGACGGTACTTGCTTGACTGGACCGGACTGGGCTACCTBGGACTGCTGACTGGGCTAGGTGGACTACCACCACTTGACCACTTGCCTCTGCTGAACACAGGCCAACTCCGAATGGCCAGTTCTAGAAACCTCTACGTTGGCCCTTCGGTACTRTAGCAGCTACGACTTTGCCCTTTCAGGTAAGTAGCAGCTACGACCTTGACTCCTCAAGCAGCCTACAGCTACCACTTCGGAACTGTCTAGACTCCTAATCTTCAGGTCTACAGTTCGATTCCCTTCTACCCTGTGACCTACGACAAATTGCCTACCACTGGTGTTCCTACACGTCGCACGTTCAAGTCTACGGGTTGACACTGATACTGTACACAGGTAAGACGGGGATCTAGGGATCGAGCCCTGGGATCTGCATTCACTACCGCGAACTGGTGAATACCTTTTCACTCCCGCCGGCCTAAATTCGAGTTCCTCCGAGAAAATTTCACTCCAAGGCAGGACCTTTACCTTTCTGCTGTCTTTCGTAGGCCCGGACTATATCGGGAGCTGTCTCTAGAAGTTCAGATCTTGTAAACCAGCGGTCGTCTTCCGGTTCCTGATAACTAAAATAAACCTTGTATTGTTTCTGCGGACGACCCCTACCTCCAGTTCTAAAGACATCTTCACCCACTATACCATCTATGTCATATCTTCCATCCATATCAGGTGGGATCATCGATCCACGGGATGGAAACTGATCACTTGTTTGACAAGGTAGCAACTTCGATGCGTGGAAAACTGGATACGTGTGGAGGTGTGCTGGTAGTTCTATTGTATAGGACGGTCCATCTTCGCCGCCCTTGGCTTCCAAAACAAGCCACGGTCCTCTATATGTGGGCAGTAACTTCTGCGAGATGATCTCCTCCGGCGCAAACTCTTTAGAACTAACCCAGACTAAGTCGCCTACTTGAAACTGTGAAGGGCAACGATGTTTGTTTGCTTGCTCTATCATCCTATGTTGGGCTTTTCTGAGGTTCTCTACGACAGTAGCTAGTTCTTTCGCGTGCTGCACAGCAAACTCCCTGGTCCCGGGCGGCAATCTCTGAATCTGATCCTGGTTAAGTCCCTCAAACGGTCTGCACGGTCTAAAGGACTTGTGCAATTCGTTGGGAGTGCGGCAGGTGGCTAGATGCACGTTGTTATTGTACGCACTAGCTACTTTAGGCAACATCTCATCCCAGTTAATCTGATCTGGCCTAATATACATGCGCATATCTTGTTGTAGGATCTTGTTCATTTGCTCTCTCTGGCCGTTAGTCTCTTGATGGCGGCCGGACGACATCAACAACTTAGATCCGTATACTCCCATGAGTTCTTGCCAGTTCTGGCTAGTAAAGCGACTATCTCTATCGCTAACTATAGACATCGGGATTCCATTCTCACTAACCCAACAATCAAAGAACCTCTGTATGACTAAATCAGTACGCGCCTCGGAAGGCAAAGGAACAGAAACTGCGTACTTACGGTCAACTATGACCATGACTTGGCTCTTGCCATGCCTACTCTTGACTTGAGTGTCCATGAAGTCTATGAACACTGAGTCTCCCAGCTGATCCGGAATGGGCAAGGGTCTGAGAAGACCTAGCGGGGCGCGTGTAGAACTCTTGTTACGCTGGCAGACTTTGCAACTGCGAACATACTCTACGCAGTCATTCTTCATTCCTGGCCAGGTATACGCGCCCATTAGATTGGCTAAAGTCCTTTGCCAACCAAAATGACCCTCTGTGTCATGGCACTCGCCCAAAATCAGACTACGAATCTCTTCGTTATTGGGGATGCATAGGCGATCAAAGACATTAGTCTTCTCAAAAAGCAACCCTTCAGTAGTGCGATAATTCGGCTCAGTCTCCGGGGCCTCCTTGACTTTCTTAAGGAGCTCACTATAGATAGGGTCCTGCGCGTAAGCTTCTCTTACCTTCCGTTGTAGGTCCTTCCCTATATCGAGGTAGTGCACTATTGCCCCGAAGTAATCAGCCCTTCTACTGAGAGCGTCCGCAACTACGTTATACTTCCCTTTGACAGGCTTGAGCTCAAAGTCATACTAATCTATCTCTGCGGCCCACCTAGTAAGCTTACGTGTCATCTTGGCTTGCATCCTTAACCATCGTAACGTTTCATGGTCAGAATAGACTTTGAAGTGCCTCCCAAGCAAGTAGTGCTTCCAGTGGTCTAACGCTTGCCTAAGAGCGTAGAGTTCCCTCTCATAGGTAGATGTCGCGACCTTCTCTGAAGGCATTCAGGAGGACATGAACTCTACGGGTCTATACCCATTGCCATCGTCTTGCTGCAACACCGCGCCTATGCCGTACTGGCTAGCATCCGTAGTAACGACAAAAGGCAAGGACGGATCGGCGACCTTAAGGACCGGATACTCTATCAATGCCTGTTTTAATTTCTTCATCGCAGACGTGCAGTCCTTGTCCCACTTCCAGATTGTCTCTTTTCTCAGCAATCTGCGAAGGGGAGCATGGATGGTGGAGAAGTTCCTCACGAACTTCCTGTAGTAATTTGCTAAGCCCAGGAACGAGCGCAACTCTGTCAGCGTACGTGGCGTGGGCCAATCTCTAATCGCTGCGATCTTGCTATCCTCTGGCTTAACGCCGTCTCCATCTAAGACGTGGCCTAAATACAAAACTTGGGTCTTCGCCCAATCACACTTCTTTGCATTGATCTTGAAGTTAGCTTCCCTCAGCTTCTCCAAGACCTGCCTGAGATGACCCTGATGCTCTTCGAGGGTCCTTCTAAACACTAAAATGTCATCCAAGTAAACTACAACAAATCTATCTAACCACGGCCTAAACAAATCGTTCATACAGTGTTGGAACGTAGCTGGCGCATTGGTTAGTCCAAAGGGCATCACTAAAAACTCATAATGCCCATACCTGGTCCAGAAGGCTATTTTATACTGATCATCAGGATGTACCTCTATTTGGCCTTCTGCACTCGATCTAAAAGATCGTCTATCCTTGGTAGTGGCTCAGCATTCTTCACTGTAATCACATTCAGACCTTTATAGTCTATGCACATTCTCAGCTCTCCCTCTTTCTTAGGAACAAAGAGGACAGGTGCTTCGAAAGGAGACGAACTGGGCCTAATCCAACCCTTCTCGAGGAGCTCGTCTAACTGCTTGCGAAGTTCCTCTAACTCCCGTGGGGACATCCTGTACACGGCACCCTTAGGAGTTCTACTGCCAGGCTCTATCTCAATGCGGTGCTGGATGGGCCGCGGTACTACTCCTATCGGCGGCTCAGTTAGATCCTTGAACTTTTCCAGCAGCCTGGCAATCGCAGGGTCCATCGGCTTCTCCTCTGTAGGCTCAGTGAATGGCCTAACATAGGCAACAAAGACCTGTTCCTCTAGTTTCTCCTTCTTCACCAATCTGGCGAATGCGGGGGCACTAAGGCAGCACTGCGCCAAGGAATTCTCTACYCCTGACACATGGAACAGGCGGGCAGTCTTAGCCTCGCCTGCAGAACTAGGGAGCCTACACTCATGCTCCTTCAGATGGAGCGTTGCCCCGAATGCCTCTCCCCAATCCATTCCCAACACAATATCAAAGGGGAGGCTGTCTTCTACGAGGAGAGTAAGGGAGTGGAGAATCTTTTCCACTTTCCCATCTTTCTCTAGGCGAAAATACGCCTGGACTCCCTCTACGTAATCCTCTACAACCATAGTGTGATTGTCCGCGAGGATACTAACTATGGGGTCTGTCAGTTTCTGGACTTTAAGTCCCAACCTCAACTTCTGCAGCGCTTTCCTACTAATATAGCTGCGAGTGGCCCCTGAGTCTATTAGGGCCCCTACTCTACTTCTAAAAATCTCTGTATCTAGCAATATAAGCTGCCCTTTATTCTCCTTCTTCATCTTGGCCCAGGCGGGCATCCTCTCCTTCAACTCTTCGGCCACGCCTGTGAGGGAGGTGTCTAACGAAACTCTAACACAAGGAGTTTCGGGACAGCTGTCTAGACACCGGCCTGCAACCTCTGCCGTAGGCACATGTGGTGTGGGAGTCTCCTGCCGGCTAGCGCTATTTTCCCCACATGGCCTAGTGGTAGGGGCAGTTGCTACCCCTACCGGCGGCTGCCTTTTGGCCCTTGAGCAGCCGTTCGGGTCTCTCTATACTTGGGACAATATTTGATGATATGGCCCAAGTCACCACAGAAAATGCACTGGCCCCGGTGCAATCGTTTTTGCCATAAGTCCTGGTCCAGACCCAAAGATTCCCAAGGCCTACCCTGAGGTAGCCCTGGGTGCCATCCTCCTACTCTATAGGGAGACCTATTCCTAGGACGGTTTTGCGAGGGACCTTGACCCCTGCCTCCCGCTTGGCGGTTTCCTCCTCTGCCGCCAACCCCCTGATCGCCCTGGAACCGGTTCCCTGAGGCCCGGCCCCCTTGGCCCTGGCCTCTTCCTCCTTGCAGCCTCCCTCCAGCCGCGACAACAGCGTAGGATCTCCCCTGGCCCACACCGCTGTCCTCCTCCTCTAGCCCCCACTCAATCTGATCGTAGGGGATCTCATCCACACTACCTTCATCTAAAGTCAGGATAAGGTTGTCCTTAGTCTTTACCTGCCCTGAGATAGTGCGGCCTTTCCATTGCTTTCCCCTGTCCAAGTCCTTGTGCAAGAAGGTAGATAGGGACACGGACTTCGCTTCAAAAGCCACCACTTCACGGCTAAGGGAATCGTAAGTGGTGGCAAGATCTTCGCTCTTTGCGAAGAACTGCCCTCGAAAGGCTTCGGGCATAGCCCGGTAAAAGAGGTTGACCAATTGGCCCTCTGTGACCCCGTGGTCAGGGACGGCCACCAACTCATCCATTGTACCCTTGAGTGCCCTAGCGCTCTTCCGAGAATGGATGGTTTGGAGCTTGTCTGAGGCCTTAACACTGCGAGCGACGTCTACAAATCGATCGCGCAGCAATTTCAGGAATTCGATAAGGGACGTGAACGAGGAACCGGTTCATCACTACAGTTGGCAGCGCGAACTAGGGACCTTGCAAAACTGGCGGCCTCATCTCTCAGCGCGTGGATCGCAATCAGAACCTGCTGATCTGGGGAGACCTGTTGCAAGTGCACATAGGTCTTAACGTTAGCTTCCCAATTGTCAAAGTTCTCTTCCCTTTTCCCACTGTAGGAATCAGGGAATTTGACCTTGACTGGTTCCCGGCGAGGAGGACGTGCTTCCTCCTCCTTGGGGGCTGCCGCCTTGACGCCCTCAATGGCGCCAGCACAGAACCGCTCGGTCTTGTCGAGGCGGTGGCCCACCTCGGTTCCTACAACGCCTACCAGCTCGCGCGCAAATTCCCGAAACCCCAACTTTATTGAACGCACAGCTATGTGCTGACTCCTACTGAAGTCATATTGCTCCGCCTGAATTCGTGCCAGGCGTGCAACATTTCGAGCTATGACTCGCATTTGGGTCGGGAGTTCAGTCTGGGCGGCTAATTGCTCCTCTATCCTTTTTACTTCCTCTAATTCTTTTGCCGCCTCCGTCGCCGCGTCCACTCTCCTTTTCTTCTCCCTCATCACTGCCAATCTCCATTCCATCCTCTTTTCATCTTCCATCGCCTGCTGCTTCACGACATCTTTTTTCGCTTCCCAAGCTTTCATAGCGGCTTCCTGATCATCCTGGGGTATGTACATTGCCACTTCTTCTTCTTCTCCCACAGACAGGTTGGCAACCCATTCGGATATCCTTTTCTCCAGGTCCCCACCATTTCTGCCACTATGCTGCCCACTTACTCTTTTGCAGTGGCGGACCTTCCTCTTTTTCATCCACCTCCTTCGCCTTCTCTTCTTCTTCCTTTTTCAGCCTCTCTTTCTCCCTGGCCATCTCTTCCCCCATCTTCTTCAATTTGGCCGACTGTTCCTCTTTCAAGGCCTTCTTCTTGGCCTCCTTCTTCTCCTTTCTCTCCTACAGGATGGCGGCCATCTTCTCCTCCTCCTCCTTCGTGTATGGCTGAGTGGAAGTACCACCACGACTGGGCCCTACTCTACACGCAAAGGCGGGCCAGAAGCCCAGCGGAAAGAGGAGACGCCAGAGGGTCCCCCAGAGGGAGAACCCAACAAGTAGCCCATACAGCGGATAGTCATCCATCGCGGTGTTGGTGCACGACAGGGGTCCCACTCCTTACCACGTAGACCTACCCGGACACACTGACCTACAGACTGACTCTCTAAGGACCACAGGGTAAGACCCTGTCAACTATGGTCACTAACCCAACACTACTCTAAGGCTGTCACTACAGAACCAGCAGCTGATCTGGAGGCATTTAAGGAGATCCCCCGTAACTCCTCAAGAATTCTTTAACGTCGCAGACAGGACGACGTGATCAGCTTGGTCCTTCCTGGCGATTTCAGCCCACAACTCAGCCGTTCCGGCCTACTGTGCCAC